GGCTAGAGAGACGGCTTAGCAGTTAAGAGCAACAGCTGCTCTTCTCTTCCAGAGGACCCAGGTTCGACTCCCAGAACCTACGGGGCAGCTGATGACTTTCTGTAATTCCAGTCACGAAAGACCTAATGCCCCCTCCTCGCCTACACGGGCACCATGGACACATATGGCACACGGGCATACATGTGGGCAATACACCCATACATATATAAAATAAATTAAAAAGAAAAGGAAGCCCAGTGTCTGAGCTAGCAAATGTCTAAATGGGCATGAAGCGGGAAGCAGGGAAATGGTTAAATGTTACCCGCGCTGTGGTTATCCAACTTGGGGGGGTCAAGACCAGTCCCCCATGTCAGGTCCAGCCACACACACATCCTGAATAAGACAACTGAAAGAGCCAAATTAAAAGTGGAAAGCAGAGGAGAGAGCTTTATTCAACAGGGCCACACTGGGAAGAGGGGCGGGGATAGTGACATCTCCGTGGTGCTGGTCAAGGTAAGGGGTGGCCCCGCCCACCACTGCAGGACCCAGGGGCTCAGGTCTGACACTCCAGTGTCAGTGTGCGACCTCCAGTCTCTTCCCAGGGAACAAGTAACCCCTCTTTTCCCTTCCCTGAGCATGAGCTGTCGGGGAGGTCCTCATTTCTTCTTCCTCGGGCCCTTTACTTCACCAGCCTCCCAGCCACACTAAGAGACATGGAACCTCTTTAAAATGTCTTCATCTGCCGGGCCAATTACACTGCCTGTAAGACACAGGTGTATCAAAGAGTAATGAGTCACTTTCCAATCCTGCCAGGGATTCAGATCAAACCAACAAATCTTGTGTTGTTTACTACCACATGCAAGCCACACACACACACACACACACACACACACACACACACACACACACACACAAAATAGACAAAGAAATGCGTAGCCTTGGGCTTTCAGCCCACAGATGCATAACACAGATCCCCCCCTCTCCCTCCCCCCGGAAAAGCAGGGCTAGTGAAGAGGGGAGCGAACAGGGATTAATAAAAGGACCGATTTGCTGTCCTGGGCTTTCCTGGCCGGGAGAATGGAGAACGGAAAGACTGAACCATGAAATCAAAAAAGCATCTGTCTTCCAGGTTCCTCTCTGCCAAGGTCTTGGGAGGAATGTTTGAACTTTCCTGTTGGCTTTGTATGCAAATAGCTCCAGATGGGAAGGAACCACATCTAAGCCCCTTGCTCCAGCTTGTGCTGGTCCAATCCCCATTATTCCTTCTGCAGAGCCGGCTTGTGACAGACAGTTTAGTCTGCCCTCTTTATAAGCTGTTTTGAAGGAGCTAATTTGGATTAAAGTATCTATCTGGACCAGTTGTTTTTCCCTTTGATGGTCACTGGATTCTAATGTGGTCTGTGCAGAGAGCTGCAGGGAACTCGGAGGCATTATTGGAAAGGACGGTGTTCAAGGTTTGTGCCTCCCACCTCGCCTTCTACACAGCTTACATCTGTAAGGTTGAAAGCAAAAAAAAAAAAAGTGAACGGTCTTTTTGCCTCTTAAAACTGTGCCACCCGCATTGTATGAAATGGCTTCCTAACACATCCTGACCCAGCACTCACTGTCAAAGTCTGAGGTGAAGCTAACGTTAAGGGTAGAAGGGCAGCCAACAGGAAAAAAAAAAAAAAACGCATCTGGGGAAAGGGTCCATCCTCCTAGGCCACAGCTTCCAAGCTTCCACAGTCAGCCAGTGAAAAACGAAGTCCGCAACTCACAGGCCTGTGTACCTGAAACCTGGACAACCTACTGTGTGTACAGCCAAGGAACGAGTCAACGGTGAACACAGAAACACCCTGAATAAACCCCATGAGTTCTGAAAAAGAGGCGCGATAAAGACGTTAATAAAACATGCCTTCCGGTGCCAAACCGAGACAACGCAGTGCTAAAGGCAGACCAGGTCAAGTGAGGATGAGTCCTCCACTCTTTCACAAGTACACAGGGGAGGGGCAGAGGCAGGAGGGGGGGGTGGGCCTGGCATGGAAGGGTAAAGCAGGTACAGGGAAGGCATCACCACACGGGAGCAGGTCAAAGTTACTTTCCGAAAACTATACTCTCACGAGGAGCAGCCATTGCGAGTGTGGTTGTATTGTTTGCCACACAAATCCTGAAAAGGTGTTAGAAAAGAAAAATAAATGAGATCAATGAAGTACAGGGGAATAGATGCAACCATTATTGCTCCTGGACCCGGGGTGAATTAAAGTGTGATGTCACGCGCACTGTTTCCATCACACGGGAGAACCAGGGAGGTGGGGGGAAAGACCAGCAAAGGAACGGACGCCCTGTGCTTCCGAGCATCTGTGGCCGCTCTGTGCCGCAGTGCGCAATGTGCGTGGGGGCAGCATGCTTGCTGGGGGCTCGTGGGGGCCGGGGGCGACTGCACCAGATGGTTCTCTGTTCCGACCAGGGGCTCCAGAGGTGGAGCTCAGGCGTAGAGACAGGTGTTTTACTCACTGACCAGGTCACAGACCTGTGAGTGTCCTTGTCCATCATCACCTCCAGGTCACAGACCTGTGAGTGTCCTTGTCCATCATCACCTCCAGGTCACAGACCTGTGACTGTCCTTGTCCATCATCACCTCCAGGTCACAGACCTGTGAGTGTCCTTGTCCATCATCACCTCCAGGTCACAGACCTGTGACTGTCCTTGTCCATCATTACTTCCAGGTCACAGACCTGTGACTGTCCTTGTCCATCATCACCTCCAGGTCACAGACCTGTGAGTGTCCTTGTCCATCATTACTTCCAGGTCACTGACCTGTGATTGTCCTTGTCCATCATCACCTCCAGGTCACAGACCTGGACTGAACACTTAACTCAGGCACACAAACATTCCGCTCTTAGCAAGCGCTGAAGATTTTCAAGACCGACACATAGCCGAAGCACTTCAGTTTTCTACTCTTACACCTTATTTCTAAGACCGTTTATTCACCAGTAACCAAGAAGAGATATAACTGCAAGCAAATCTACTCACCAGTCAAGAATCACAGAGTGCTGACTCCAGGTATCACTACCATAGTGGCTACAACTCCAAAGGACTCACACCCATCCTCTGCCATAAAGAGGCTAAAGCAGGCATTAAAGATGAGTTGTACACGAGATGATGGTTAAAATCCCTAACAACCAACCTCACAGTACTCAAAACGGCCAAAGGGGAAAGGAGCCTGTGTCCGTAACAAATGAATACAAGATGGGGTATGAGGATTTAAAAGGAAGGGAACCGAGAAAGACGATGCAACACGAATAAAACCTGAGGGCATGGTTCTGGCTGACAGGAGCGGTTATGGAAATGCAGCCTTTGCCATCCACCGCCCATGACTACAGCTAAGGGATTCACAGCAGAGACAAAGCAGAGCAGCCGTTGCCAGGAATGAAGGGCAGGCGAGAGGAAGGCCACTGCAGCTTAGGAGTACAGAGTTTCGGTCGTACAGGATACAGTACAAACCGACGCGTTAAAAAATAACAAAGGGGGCGAACGCCATTTTCAAATATGAGTTAGGATACTCTAAACGCCAAGGAAGTGGCACAAAATGACATTACGACGGGGCTTCGGGAGCTGAACGCAGTCAACACCTTTCTCTTCAAAGAAAACTGGAAACTAGATGGGCAGGAGGGAGGCAAGGGTAATGGCAGAAACGGGGCAGAGGGTGGGAGACACACTGTGCAGACCACAGTCTGGCGGTCTGATGGGCGAGGCTAGGAGACCGCCACAAAGGCGGCGGCCATTTCTCCTCGGCCGGCTCTCACCGGAATGAAGCAATGAAGCTGTAACGTCAATGCTGTGGGCTGCAGTGAGGAAGGGGGGGGGACCATTTCATGCCCACCGTCTTCAGTTACGTTGTCCAACTCCCACGACATGGGTGGAGCTAAGCGTTTTACGTTGCGTGAGAGCTGACCCAACTAGACTGAGTGAGGGAGTCCCCAGGAAGGCTTAACTAGGGAGGGGAAAGTCATCCTGGGTGTAGGACAGGGCAGATTAGGGTGTCACCGTCTCATGGGATGGGTGAAGGCTGGGCATAAGGGAGAAAGTGAGCTGGGTATCAGCAATAGTCATTCCTGATTCCTGCCCGTGGATGCAACGTGAGAGTTGCCTCAGACTCGTCACCATGACTGAACACCACTGGGGATAATTAATGTCTCTCTACAAATGTCCCTTTGTAGCCTGCAGCTGTTTGGGGGCTCTGGCACCTCAAGATGTGTCTTCTACGTAAGTGCTCACTGACAGGTCCATGACTTGAAGGGATGCAGCCAAACCATGTGGAGATATGTAGATGAATAGAAATGTGTTAGTAGTTAAGAGAGAGCCAGCCAATAAGAAGCCTGAGCCATTGGCCAAGCCGTTTACAATTAACATAAGCCTCTGTGTGTTTATTTGGAACTAAATTAGCTGCGGGACCTGGCGGGACAGATACCACCTCAGCCTACATGCATAGGGCCTCTGACACCAGGGACAAGGCTTCTTGGAAACTGCCTCTCAAATCCAGGCACAAATAGCTTTCTCCCCTCACCTCACAGAAGTCTGCCTCTCGCCCCACTGCCGTCCAAGTTACCCCTAAGCGACAGCATCTTACAACACCTTTACATCGTTACGCACTGTCTTTTCCTTGTTCTTGAGAGAAGAACAGCATTGGCTATGGATGTGTGGTGACCCTGCAGAGACACCAAGCCCTTAAGGCATATGCCCAGGAGTGGCAGAGCAGGCCAACTGCTCCCTTTTCTGAGGAAACCTTCAAACTGACTTCAGGAGTATCAGCAGCGTAAACCAAGATGAATGTGAACTCAGAGTCCCTTCTACAACCCAGCCTCCAGCTAGCACAGAATGGGAAAAAGAAAATCTGGATTCAGAGTGTTCTAGATTTTTCAGGTCAAAAAAAACAGCAAACAAATTTTTAAAAAATGAGAAATAGTTTTTAAAAACAAAACAAAAACTTTAAAATACAGGGTTAAAAAAAAAAAAAGAACCCCGTAGCCAGGAGGTAGTACCTGCAGGAAAGGTGGCCCAGGGGACAGCAGGGGACATTGCTTGGTTTCCACTGTGTTCACCATCAAATGTCTCTGCAGCCTGTAAAACAAGGCAAGACCACCTGAGAAGCCATGAAGACATGAAGGGATGTACTTTTCATCAGCAATCACACACGCAGCCCCACAGGCACCCTACTGCCGCCGACGCCCTGCTCTACCCCTGCACCGATCCCCACCTACAGTGCCAGCCCCCTGGTAAATGATTTCCTTCCTTATCCCGACAACCTCATGTTGGTGAAACGTTTATTTCGTGTATCTTCCATTACAATTTAACTCAACACATTCACCCCTCGGAGTAAAAACTGCCCTAATAGACTGTGCAAACCTTTTATTTTAGAGGGTCATTTTGGATTAGCATAAGACTTGGGGACTAATCTGAAAGAGCAGGTGAGCCTGTCTTCTTGAACAGTCTCTCTGACACTGAACACTAGAGAAATACGAATACCAGCTTTTCCCATGAATGGGCTCTTCTGTTTGGTGGCAGCTACTTAGGGCAAGGGTTACAGAGACAGCGCACAGTTTTCGCTCTCTCGGGTAGCTAGCTGTTAAAGCAAGATTATTACTGAAATCAGAGCCGCGAATTTGTAGTTTTAATTCCTACTCTCTCAGAAATCAGAGGACACGGGATCCAGGACAGAGGATAAGGCGGCTACACTGTCCCCCAGCTGTGAAAGTGGGTATATTGTACTGAACACGGGACAAAGACCTTCTGCTCTTCCACAGCAGAACTTGGAGCAAGGACGCCTACTGAGCACAATGAAACCACGCAGCTAATGCTGGACCTCCTGTGGAGGGGACCTACATGCTGAAGAGAGACTCAATTCGGTTGTCACTTGAGAAATGGCTCTGCAATGGTTGAGAGACGAGGATATGCTCTTATGGGACCCATAAATAACAGCTTCAGGCACCAAGGCAAGCCATCTTGTCCTCAGTATCAATGGAATTTTAACACATTTTTAAATGTTCCACTTAACGTGAATGAGACTCAAAACAAACTATTATATAAAAGCACGGAATACTCAAATGAGCTTTTTAAAAAGCAGTTTGGGATGAAACGTGGAATGTATGTATGGCTACATGACTGCCTGCTCATAGAAAACCCATGTCTACACTGGCTACCTGTGCATGGAGAACATGTGTGTCTATCGTAGTTGCCTGCACTTGGAGAACATGTGATGGGAGACGCCATTATGTATATTTGTTTCTCATACTGGCTAATGAATAGAGCACTGTTGGCCAATAGGAAAGGAAGATAGGAGGGACTAGGAGACTAGGAGGAAAGAGGAAGAAGTAAGTAAGGAGGAGCCAAGATGGAGAGTCTGGAGAAGGCAGAACCGCCAGCCGCCTCTCGCTGGTAAGACCACGTGGAAATACATAGAAATGGGTTAATAATTAAGGCAAAGCTAGCCAATAAGAAACTAGTACCTGGCCAACAGCCTCATATCAAATACAGAGTCTCAGTGTATTATTTGGGGCTGGCGCGGTGGCGGGACAAGACTAGGTGGCAGGTGGAAAAACCTTACTCCTTACAAACATGTGTGTCTACAGTAGATGCCTACACATGGAGAACATGTGTGTCTACAGTAGATGCCTACACATGGAGAACATGTGTGTCTACAGTACTTGCCTGCACATGGCGAACATGTGTGTCTATAGTACTTGCCTGCATATGGAGAACACGTGTGTCTACAGCAGTTGCTGCCTGTACGTGAGGAATACATGCATTTACACCGACTGCCGGCACACTGGCAGCTATGAAGACATTGGATAACAAATAGCCTGATGCTGTAATAGCCGCGCCGCTCTTCCTTGAAAATGCCCCACCTCCCCTATTAACGGTAATTAGACTCCCTAACTTTTACAGGTTACCAAATCCAAACTAGGTGAACAACTAAAGAACAAGGAAACGAAAAGTCCTGAGCACACACAGTGGGTGGTTCCAAGACTTGAGCCCTGGCATTTGACTCTTAATCCAGAGATTTTCCTGCAAGACTATACTGGCTCCGTAAAAATGACTGGGTTATAAACTATTCCAATAAAAGGAGCACACATTGAAAAGTTTACAGTGCCTGCTTACGATGTCCCACCAAAACCTGAGAGAGCAATGTGACAGCCCCGCTGGATGGACGTCTGTGTGTCTCACATGGGGAATCCACGGGTGGGAATCCCAGGTGGGTACAGGGCTGTGACAGGCTCTGACAGATGTGCCCCCACCCTCTACTGATAGTCTGAGCTCTTCCTGATGCGTCACCAGCCTCATTAATTACCCTGATTTAAGTTGTTCCTATGGCGAGATCAGCGCCTTCAGTAACAAGGCGTCTCAGGGTCTCAGGAGATGGCACCTCTTAATTTTCCCTGACTTCAATCTCTGTTACATCGAAGTGGCTATGAATAGAACAAACATGACGGGTAGGAGCAACAGCTCAGTCAGTAAGCCGTCTGCCTGGCAAACACAGACCCACTCTTAACAGATCTGGGCACGGTGGCAAGCATTTGTAATCCCAGTGTTAGGAAAACAGAACCCTGAGGCTTGCTAGCCAGCCAGCATTGCCTGCTTGACGAGGTCCAGGCCGGCGAAAGACCCTGTCCAGGAGAAAAGTGAACAGGACCCAGTAAGAGACGTAAGTGGTCGTCCCCTGGGCTGTGGAAACTCACGCTCGTGGAGAGCAGCACACACGCGCTCAGTGAAGAGATCAAGAAAGCAGTGAAAGGAAACACGTTTTTGCAATGGTCTAGTGTTACCCAAAGATAAAGGCAGGCGACACGTACCTCAAAGCCACCAAAGTCGTCATCGTCCATTCTTTAGGCAGCACCTGAAACACAGAACAGCTGAGGTGAGCCACCTCTATCCAAGCACCCCCGTGCCTTAAAGCAATACACACTGAGTTGTAAATTAAAGCTGTTCCATTTGGGTTATGAAGGGCTTTCCTAAACTGCACTGTGCATTTTTTTAATCAGTTAAAAAATAAAAAAATAAAAAAAACAAACAAAAAAAAAAAAAAAACAGAGAGCTAGTAATTGGTTTTTACTTTCTGGCAAAATTAGCGATTTCTGGAACCTTTTCAGTAACCATGTATTTGGCCATTTTCTGTTGAGACTCCAGGAGTGGAAAAAATATTCTTTTACATTTTAATTTGCTTTTCCCAAAGTGGCGCTAGGCCCCATCAGCAATGCTTCCTGCTCTCCTCAGCTGCCTGGCAGCACCAGCACAAACTCCAGTTAAGCACAGGGCTGCGGTGAACTTTTGGAAATCTGTCCCCACCGCAAAGGTTCTTCCCTCGGTTTCATGGCCCGGCTCAGTTAGATTCTCAAAGTTGATCAGCATTTTTGAGCTCCAGAGCCACGACTTCTGGAGCATCTGATATGTGTATTTTTAGCCGAAACTGCTTTGCACTTCGGGGAAAATGTGGAGCAAGTTTACTGAGCCGACCAAGGTGAATGGAGCCTCGAGTTCCCAAGACGAGGCAGGAACCATGAGAAGACTCGGGGTCCTTCTTCACGCCTCACTCTAGGTAGGAGAGAGAGCGAGCTACGGCACAATGTGACTGCTTCTCCCTGAATATATTACAGGAGGGTCAGGGGTCAAGCCTGAGCGCCTAGGCTTCGGAACTAAAGCCGTGGCGCCAGCAGCTGTGAGCTCAGTTCCCTGAGAAACTCTTACCAACAACTCCACCAAGAAAATGCCACACTCCAAAAGGGAACAGCAAAACAATAATAATAATAATAATAAATACATAAAGAAACAAAAACAAAAAAAAAAAAAAACACTAATCACAGTTTTCAGGAGGCCAAGGAAATTCACTTTCACAAACAGCAGAAAGTACAAAGAGCGCGCGTGGACGGAAGCGTGATCATTTTCTAAGTAGCGCTGAGTTACTAGAACCGCTAACAGGGAGGGAACAGCAGCGCTGCCGCCCTTTGCTCACGGCCTCACGGTCTGACCATGCTTCCCATCTCTTTATAAAGTTAGAAACTAGAGCTAAGCTAGCCATTGACATGCAGCACCTAGAAAACGAAAACCGGACTTAAGAACGGTCAACCGGCCGTTAGTCTGACGTCTGCTTTATTCGGGTCTCAGCTGAGGACAATCCTCCCCTGATTACATCCATCAGGTAATCGGGAGAAGACGGTGCGCATCCTGACAATTAACAGCTGAACGGCATACACCACAGCTGTTCTTTCACACCGGTACCACAACCTCTGGAGCCCACTACAATCTATGAATGCCAGTGCACTGGGGTATTCATTTCTAAAGACTGGAGCTTCCAGAGTTAAGGCCACCTTGTTTTCACAAGGCACATCCTGACACGGGATGGGAAGGGTGCCAGAGAGCGGGCAACCCAGGCACACAACATGTTCGCCTGTGGTGAGGAAGCAGATTCCTAAGCTCTGATCGAGCTGTGCAAAACAGCAGAGTGCTAACCACTGACGCTCTAGGTCCCAGCAACTCCTACACACGGAATGAGACAGGGACAGTTCCTCTTCTAGATCGTCAAAAAAAAAAGCAGCCACGTATTTTGTTTAAAAGTAAGTAAATGTGCCCTAGATATCTTAATATACCGTGCTACAAAAATGCTGTTTTAAAGACATAGCCTTTCTCCAATACTTTGGATTCAAACCCTAGGACAGTTTCCTTTTGAATAGTAAGAGAAGAGAGACGGCAGATGTTTTTTGCTGCTGACTGTGTGAGTGTGTGAGTGTGTGTGTGTGGGGGGGACGTTCTTTTAGAAACAGGGTCTCTATGTGGCCCTGGAACTTCTTATGTAGACCAGGCTGTCTTCAAATTCACAGATCTGCCCGCCTCTCCTCCTGAGTGCTGGAATTAAAGGTGTGGGCCACCATGCATGACCTAAACAGCGCTTGTGTTTTTTAAAACTCAATTTTATACAGGCCAGAGAAACAGCTCAGTCGATAAAGCATTTGCCTACAAGTATGTGAACCACTGTTTAGATGCCCAGAATTCACATTTAAAAAAAAAAAAAAAAAAAAACAGGCGGATGTAATAATCCCAGCACTTGGGAGGCAGAGAGAGGGAACACTCCGGGAAGGTGGCCAGCTAGACTATGAACTGTCCAGCTCTGGCTTCAGAAAGAGAGCCTGCCTCAAATACCAGAGATCAAAAATGATACCCACATTTACTTTGGGACTCCACACCCCTACATGCCTGTGAACATGCAAATATGCACCCCACAACACACAAACACTCAAAAAAAGGAAATCAATTTACAAAACACAAAAAGTTAAGCAGTTTTTAAGATGGGAACAGTACAGAGGCCCTTAGACCTCGGTTTTATGTAAGCTGTACTGTACTGCGGTAGGTCATTGTAAAGCGTGTCTGCAGCTTGCGTTACAGCCACTCCAATTTCAGCCATTCCCACCGTGTGCCAACACCACACAACTAACACCTAAATCACAGAATGATGGGGATCTAACTCAGAGCTACATCCCATTACCTCAAGGACGGAGGAGGCTAAAAGGTTTTCGTAATACCTGAGCTCAACAATCTCAGAACTCCTTACATGTGAGTTAACCTGTTCTGTCGCTTTACTGTTTTAATTGCCACCCTTAGCATTTAACATGCTGGTGGTTTGAGAACAGGAGAGCAGAAAGTAAAGCGTGCACACAGACAGCATCTCACACCCTAGGCAGCCGAACACTCCACAGATGCCAGTCAAGGTCTTTGAGAGGGCTGAGTGGTGAGGAAGAAAGCTCAGATCCAAGGAAAAGCACACAGATATAAACAACGTGAAAACTCCTAAGGAGAAAACTTCCCGGTGTGGGAAAATGACGTCAGGGGGAATCTATCTAGTTGGGATATCAGGGGACCTTTGAGACAGACTGAAGGAACTGGACAGAAATTTTAAGTAGAACATTTGAAAGGTACAATTCTATGCAAGTTTCCACTGAAAATTCTTCCTTTAAAACAACAACAACAACAAAAAGTTACACTAAAATGCTTGTGTTTGCTGCTAAATACAAACAAGGCTTACAGAACAGACAGGGTAAAGGGGAAAAGCGGGAAGCAACAGGGGCCAAGATGTTCTGACAGCCATAACACCCATGAGCAGATAGAGGAGGCTCAGCCCCATTTCCCGAGACCCACAGGAGGCTCAAGAATGCTCAACAGCTGGTGAAAGGTGAGACTCGAAATCCAGCCAGCGCCAGGGCTGCCCCTCAATCCCCTCCCAAAAGCACACAGACATTCGCAGCTCTTCCCTGAGCAGAGCACGGTGGTTTTCCACACTCTGCACTGGAAGGTGCGGTCAGAAGATCTGAGAGCAGGAGCTACCCAGACGTCCCTTTAGCTCCTGACTGCACTAAGAGATAGGCTGGCATAAAGGATAAAAGGAAGCCAGGATGGGGTCCAGCTGCTTGGGGTTCAAATCCCAGGTCTGACACACACTGTGTTACAGTGGATGTGTAACTTAAACACTTTGGTTAACTACAGGGGCCGATGAGGAGAAGAAATAAACCACAGAAGAGATGAAACCCTTGGGATGAGCCCACCCTGGGATCTTATCTGTGCGCATTCAGGTAACTCCACCTCCCATCTGAGCAGGATTCCGAGGGTAACCAGGGATGGGAGTAACAGCCAGGACACAGACACCAGACAGGCACAGGACAAACAGTTGAGGAGCGAGCACGTTCTCCAACACACGCCGTGTCCTCAGAGGGCTACCAACAGGAGGTGTGGCAGTGAGTCAGAACAGGGCACCTAAGTTTGTGAGGGGAGGGAAGGGAAAGGCCCTGGAAATTTAAATTAGGACTGTACAAATGCAGAACCACGGGATGGAACACTCCCTTAAAACGAACATATAAAAGAAAAATGGGAAACGGGTAAACGACGTTATATGGAAAAGGGAAAGACCCAAGGCAGCCAAAACAACCCTGTACAATAAAGGAACTTCCGGAGGCATCACCGTCCCCGACTTCAAGCTCTACTACAGGGCTATAGTCCTGAAAACAGCTTGATGTTGGCACAAAAACAGACAGGTGGACCAATGGAATCGAACTGCAGACCCTGATGTTAACCCACACATCCATGAACACACCTGAGTTTTGACAAAGAAGCTAAAGAGAGCACACACCTGAGACTATAAAACTGATGGGAGATGTCATTCTGTATATGTTTCTCATACTTGTTAATAATAAAGCACTGTTGGCCAATAGGAAAGGAAGATAGGAGGGACTAGGAGACAAGGAGGAAAGAGGAAGTAGTAAGGAGGAGTCAAGATGGAGAGTCTGGAGAAAGCTGGACGCCAGCCGCCTCCCCGGTAAGAGAAATACATAGATCAGCAGAAATGGGTTAATACTTAAGACAGAGCTAGCCGATAAGAAAGTAGTAACTGGCCAACAGTATAATATCTAATACAGAGTCTCAGTGTATTATTTGGGGCTGGCGCAGCGGCGGAACAAGACCAGCAGCGGCCAGAAAAACCATACTCGTTATGTCTCACTGTCAAGAAAAACCCTTAACCATTTTAAATGCCATATTCTGTAGGTCTTTGAAAGGTTTGAAGAGTTCCTATCTATCTCAAATACATCTCTATATATCTAGAAAACCTAACTCACCTAGCTATAAGTTTTTACTATTATAGGTAACTATCTAAAATCTGTACTAAAGTATACATTACATTTCTAACTGAGCTATAAAAACACAATACCTAAACAAAAGGAGAATATACCCATCACAAAATTAACCTTAAATTGTATCAATAAATGAAAATCCATTCCAAAACAAAGTATTCATATCTATAACATAATCCCTTTTTACCTTTAAAAAGATATTGGTTGTGGTCATTAACCATTTATAACCAAG